TTTAAAGTACCATAAATGATTATAGACATAATGGCCCGAATTCACAACGGAGGTCTGAGGACAAACCCGGTTTGATCAGACCAAGGTTTGTACAAACCTTCGTCTGAGCTCAAACCTGGTTTGTCCTCAAACCCATTCCACAAAGGAAGGTTTGTATAAACCTTGGTCTGTAATTCCCAAACCTCAGACCAAGGTTTGTAAAACTAGTCTCAGCCATAGGGTTTCTAACATAATTTTCATGGGCTAGGGTTTAAATGTTAAGAATTGAAAAAAACTGTTAAACTAAGCATTCTTAGTACGATCCGGACATCTTAATGAGCAATCTTGAAAAGATGATGGTTAGAACATCTCTGAAATAACCTTTTGAAATGCATTTTCATGAATTAATCGAACCAAACTGGCGCGCCGATGCAGAAAGTGCCCCACGTACTCACATTTGTGTGGTGGTGGTGAAGCACTCAATCTGACCTAGAACAAATTGACATCGGCAAAAGTCCGGTGTGTAAAGTCAATACGGGTCGACCTTTTTCTTTTGTTACGAAAAGGACATTTTGAAGTTGGCAATTTTGGGGTCCGTCCGTTCTCGGAGTGGGGGTGGGGGGGGGGGGGGGGGGCGGGGATTAATATATTAATTCATTTGATTGCAAGTCGCACATATCCTCCTTTCCTGCCATTTTAGTTTTGTCTTGTATATTGTTTTCCATATTTAAAAGTGTTAAGTTTATACTTGTTAATTACTATAGATCTACATAGTTATTTTGTTAGAATGGCCAATCAATTATTATTTTAACTAGTTCCCCGTTTGTTTCCCCAAATGGCCATTTTTTCACATCAAAATTGTAACTGGTAAATGATTCGTTTCCATATAATATTAATTTTTAAAAATTCCTCTATGGCCATCTTTTCTTTCTCTCTCTCCCGCCCTGTCTCTTTCTCTGTCCCCGACCCTCCTCTCTCTTTTTAACAATTTTTGTTCTCTCTCTCTGTCTTCTTCTTTTTCGCAATATGAAACACATAATGCAAAACCATGCAAACAGCAAACACACACATCTGCACACCCCCCCCCCCCCAAAAAAAAAGGGAGAAAGAGAGAGAGATAATCTGACGCATATCGATTTCAGTTATCTTTTTAAATGTATGAAAGCAAGAATATTGTATTTGTATTTTCATGTTTTACATAAATAATTGAGCATACAACACAATAGTAATTTACCGTTTGTTCAAACAAAGCAGTTCACATTTGTAAATTTTGTAGCATGCTTATATGAAATAAAGCCCACTAGAGGTTAAGAGAGGCTCTGGAAGGCCAATTAAAAGTCTCACTGTAGCGCTATTAGCAGAAAGAAAATCAGAAATACAACAAAATGGGTGACGAAAATTCAAATTTGCACATAATAGTTCTTTAATTCTGACTTCGCTTAGTACAGTAAATAATATTTGTTCAAATACTCTCCCCTAGCTGACCACCAAATAATATATATTGACCCACCCCTCAACTCAGCAGTGTATACAATGCTAATTATTGTTAGATCGGGTGCATTTAATCTATAGGGAACACTTAATTACAAATACTTATCAGCTAAACATAACATCAAAAATATTTGTTAATTTTTTTCTCACTACAAAGTCTTTTAGTATTGTTAACTGAAACATTTGTATCAGCAGATATTAGAAAGTCAATCAGTAATCTTTAAAATCTCTAGAAACCAAATACTTTCTAACACATGTCGTATCAAAAAAGGATGATTCCGTCATTTACCTCAAAGTGATTTCCGGGCTTGAAAGTCAACAGAGATCACAATTACCTCAAAAAATAACAAAATTGATGGGACAGTGCCTACATCAGAAGTTTTTTGCATGAAAAATCAACTTACCTCTTAATAGTTTAAACGGATAAATAATCAACAGTTCAACACCCAGGTTCTTGATGTAATGCTGCATAATTACAAAGTATTGTGGGAACACCAGGGAGGGCCAGTATTTTTAAATACATTTTGAGGTAATTCCAGTTGCAATTGAGTTAAATCTGTATTTTATAACTTATTACTGTATACATTGAAAATGTTTGTGGAGTCTTTAATCAAATAATGTATAGCTCACTAAATAGATAGATAGTGGTGGTTATTTTACTTGACAGCTAAGAAAGCAATAAATGCTTGTTAGTAAGCTCCAGTGTTAGCTGTTTTAGGCTATACTTGGCCAAACCAATGCTATATTTGCACAACGCGAATTTCCCCAATATTGGCAACAGGAAAGCATACAAATAATTAAGAAGTGTCGACCTTCTCTCTTAGATTGATGAGCATGGAACGTCCTTATCCTTGCATTTAATAAATATGCGCTCAATCGCACGTCTCCCTTTTTTGTGTGTGAAGTGTTAAAGCCCCACTTTACTACTTGTACGGTAGCTACTTGCTCCCTCTATATAGAAAATTTCCCCTATCTGTGCCTGTTGATCCCCCATGATCCTCTTTTTCTTATGTTAATTGAAAACTGAATTGATGAGATAGCCTCCGGTCAGGTGGGTTGTCTAATCCTCTTTGGCTGAACTAGTACAGATGGCCTTTAAAGCACATCCGTGGTCGACCCTCTGAACGAAAAAAATGGCTTCTGATGAGGCAGAGAAGGCATGGATACCTGCAAAATTGAAAGGACAAAATAAACAATATCCTAAACAATATTCTTAATTACAACTTGTTTATTTTTTTTCTTGGAGGGGGGTGAGGGGGGGGGGTAATACTATAGAAAAGGATACAATGTATTGTACACATAATCAGGAATTATTCAATCCTGTGTCACTAATACAAAAACTATGAGGTTCCACTTGACAACAAACTAATCAAGTTGCATCCAGATATCAAAAACATTAATTGTGATTTCTGAACTGAAATTTAAAAGCACATGAGCTTGTTTGAATTAATTACTTAATGCGAGTTGTTACTATATTACCAAATGAACATTCTTAACATGTCACATGTTGGCCAAATACAAAAAAGGAAACAAGATTGATTAAGAAAAAGAATAAACAAATGTTTTCATATAAAGAAATAATCTACCTACCCTATAGTCTATCTTCAAGAATCAACTGTTATTCATATGCCCTAGCATCAAGCTGTCAATTTAGTGCACAAAAGATCCTGGCGTCGTGGCTGCTACCAGTCCAGGCCACCTTGCAACGGTACTAGTTATTTTCCCAGCATAATCACAGACAACCTGTCAATATGAAATAACATGTTGGCATTCATTAGTTATGAAAACTCACTCATTTCACACTTCAGATAGGCCGTGAAATGTATAAATTTCACTTGTTAATCATGGTAATTAATGCAAATGCAGTTGAATATGTGATAATTGCTTTTCGATATCTATTTATACAACAAAAATTAGAAGAAAATGCTAATTACCCTATATTTATTGACTGATGAAGTATTTCTTCATTTTTAACTCAATTTTTTAATTGTTTATCTTGTAACAATGTAAACAAAAAAAATATCACTTTTAACAAAACATTTCGATCCTAAAACAACAACAAATGCTTTGTGTGTGTGTGTGGGGGGGGGGATACCCACTCTCTCATCTTTTTATGGTAAATGAACCTGCTTGTTTTTCTATAGTTTAAAATATATAGTGGTAATTGCCATTGATCAATTTAATGCTTCTCTTTGTGTTTTTTTTTCTTTCATTGATCAATTGCAAAAAAAGTGGCCCAATTGCTTTGGCCATCCAAAAAATATCAGAAATCTAGAGGTTATATCCGTATTGCCAATAGAAGGATGGAACAAGTTTTGATTCTTCAAATTTCCCCTTTCGTTAAAAAGATATTAACGAGTTTTAGGATTTTTAAGTTTAACTATCCATTGGATATTCTTTACTGTGTACAAATTAAAGGCAGTGTAATGAGTACCAGTATGGGAATATTACTCTAATATCCATTTGGCCACTAGAAATCTTGCATTGGTTCACCAATGAATTAGCATGGATGTACAACACACAAGACTGGAGAGTGTATATATCTAATGTGAAAATTTTGCAACCTACAAAAAAAAGGTCTAAAGGGAAAGCCGTGCTGGATCCAGTCATGATGTATTCATTTATTCTCACCTGAACATCGATGGAGTACCTGTTCTTCCTATTGAAGTAGTACCTGGCTCTTGCCCCACCAAGGCTCCTGATGTAAACATGTGTCCCATCAACAGCAACTCCTGGAAATCTGCAGTACTGGAAAAACTGCTTCTGAATAGTAGTCACTTTTTGCCTTGTTGTAACCTGTAGGAAACTTCATGACTTGTCCCTTTCTTCTGACAACAGCTTCGGAAACATCTCTCACTACTCTCCATTCGGCAAACAGATGAATGTGACACGGCATGCCACCTCCTCACCGTGCATCCTTTGGATCGAATTACCCTTAAAAAAACAAAAAAACAAGCATTCAAATAAATCATTTTTTTGCTGGTTTATGCTATTATTTTTTTGCATCCCTAACTGTCACTCTCACTTTAAAAAAAAATTATCCTGATTTCTAGATGTGGTGTGAATCAGTTTAACGTAAATGACGAAATTGTCCATGCCTTTTCTAATCTCCTTTACGGCTTCACCTTTTGTAAAATTTAAGTAGTTTTACACAAAACAACAAATCACAAACCTGTTTCCAACACATAATCTGAAAAATTTCCTCATGTATTAAAGCCAAATAACAGTATTGGGAAATGCCCCACACACAAATTATGAACATTAATGCTTTCATCACCTACAGTACCATGTAAAAGAATAAATATCATAACTAATCTATCAATGTATCGAATCTGACAGAAAATGCTTAGAAATTGAATACATTTATGTAAATGCACATGTGTATTGCATTGGGGGCTTGCACGGTCGTAGGCAGACCAGCGAAGCGGGGCAAAAGAACAGTGAATTTAGGCGGTCAACATGAATTGAAATATTTCTGCATTTTAATAACGACACTAGGGTTGGATTTTACAACAGAAGCCCTTTTTTGCATAGCTATGTTAACAATATTCATCAAGTAGTTTGGCCATGTTTTCGGCAACTTTCCCAATACAGCATTTGAATTCAAAGTAGCCTACCTCAATCTAAAACAAAAGGCTCATCATCCAGCGGGTTTTCCCAATCTCAGACTCAGAGGCCTCTGCCCGGTTGTGCTGCTATATATTGCTCCAGCTCCTCCTCCAGGTACACCAGCTCATTATGCTGAATCAGCTGCATTTCTACCATCTTTACTAGAGTGAAGATAAAATTAAACAAATGTTTAAACAATGTTTTTAAATTAAAGAAATGTTATTACTTGTGCTTGTGACTTTGTGGGTGATCCTTGCTCTGGAGACTAAGCCAGTTAATTGAGACAATTATAACCAGATCTAAATTTAATAAAACTAAGCTTTGCTTGTCATGACTCATACTAGATCTAGAGTCTAGTCATAGACCTAAATAACCGTCTGAGTGATATGGGTCATTTCTTTAATAAAAATAATAAAACTGACATTTGTTGACATTCTATAATCGGAGGTCGATAGTGAAGCCAGACGTAGTCTCAGTGAACAGCCGGTGATATAGAGAGACTGAAGCTTTTTGTCTATGCCTGTCAGTGTGATTCATTTTGGGGAACATTGGCATTGCTGATGCCATTTCAATTTCTATTTATTTAGGTACTACCAGTGTCAGTGAAACAAGTCAAGTGATGGACATTATTGCCAGGCCTATACTAGGCTAGAGCCTGGTATTATTATCATTATCATGAATTTGTAATAACTAGTGTAGGTCTAGGCCTAGTCTAATTGGCATGTGTCATGGCATTGCTGACAACAAGACGAAATTAAACATGACAGTCATACTGACATACTCAGATATAGTCTACTGTAGGCCCAGCTAGGCCCAATTCCAGCCCAGGGTCAGAGGGTGCGAGCTCGGTTCCATGACACATGCTCCCCCGACGATTGCTCCGCCAACAAATGCTCCGCAAAAAGCGTCAATTGCTCCGCCGACATTTGCTCCGCCGACAATTGCACCGCCGACATTTGCTCCGTCGACAATTGCTCCGCCGACATTTGCTCCGCCCCCAAAGTACCCCGTTGAAGACAAATCCTCCCTTTTGCAGGGAAAAAAAAGGTAGGAAGAAAGGAAAAGAAAAGAAAAGAAAAGGACAAGAAAACATGGAAAAGAAAAGGTCAAGAAAAGAGACAAGAAAAGGCTGAAGACAAGAGACAAGAAAAGGCTGAAGACAAGAGACAAGAAAAGGCTGAAGACAAGGGAAAAGGGACACAAATAGAATATAGGAAGATTGATGACGGTAAATCTTGCCGGCGCCGCGTCGGGACACGTCGGAGAAAAACTAGAAATAAAATGGAGTATGAAATATACTACATGCTCGTGAAATAATCATTAGTGATTAAGGCAGATGGTTTCAGTTATTATATGAAAAGGATGAAAATTCGCTTGCTCACTACGCTTTATATGTTCGTAATACATTTTGTACATCAGTGATTAACAAGCGATGCTGGTCACGCAGATTCTTTTTAATATGAAATGGCAAGCCAAAGAATTTCGACCATTCGTTAACTAGCTCGCTCGCCAACAAGGAATAAACAATAAATCCTTGAATAATACTTGCCCATTTGATTCAAATTAAGGGGCGTAATTTAGAAAAAATCCTATTCAAGATTATAACCTATGATTTTCACCTTCCTTGTTCGCCAAATTAACAAATAAAAAAAAAAAAAAAAAAAAACATCCCCTTAAAGATACTATTTCCCTTTTACAGCCAACATCAAATTATGTCGAAATTTGCAGGAAATATAAATATGTCATGTATGCCCTATCTGTGAAAGTAAAACGTTAGCAGTGTTCTAATATTCAAATTATAAAGGAAACCTGTTTATTTGCTAGACTTCACTGATTAGACACTATTGAGTGACAAACTGGCTTTTTCTTCTTCTTTGGTAATAACATACATAAAATGAGTTGTAAAGGGTACATGACATTTGTCTACATCAATAAACCACTTCTTGTAAGGGCCAAAATTAAACTGATTAAATCTTTGCGCAGCATAAAACATACGACCATTCGGTACAATGGTCTGAAAATCAGACTATTACTTACTGGCTCTATATAGCCCTTAAGTCGATTCGACAACTAATAGTCGTTATTTTCCCACTTAAAGACATGTTCAAGCCCCCCCCCCCTTTTTTTTTTTTTTTAGGGAAGTTCTAAATTAGTATTTACTTTCAAATGCCCTTGGAATTTAACCTTTTCATTTTTTGGGGTCTGCAAATGGGACATAGTACCTTCACATGTGTTTGTGCCCTCTCTTTCAAGGGACAAGACGACACAGTTGCTTATTTAAACAAATATGCCTATAATTATTATCAAAAGAGAAGTGCAAAAGAACTCGCTCACATGCTACGCTAACTCGCGATTATAATTTTTAACATATTCATTTGACGAATGTGCAGCTCCTAAACGTCAGACGAAGAATGGCGGAAGGCAGGTAGATGCTATTCAATATAAAATAAGTTTAAAACCGCCCGCTTGCTAAAAATAAAATTGACATCGCCTTAACTATGAATGTGCCCGACCCGTCCAGCAGCAAGAAAACTCTGTTGGATACTCATTATTGTTGACAATAATTCATGGGTTGAACGTTCGCTGTTCAGTTTATGGTATAAACGTGCCCATTTAATCAAGGAGGGAAATTAAGCAGGAAGATGCTATTCAATATTATTGATAAGTCTACATTTTTAGCTCTCTCTCTCTCTCTCTCGCTATATACCATCGTTTACCAAAAGGGAATAAATATAACCTTAAATGATATAGTGCCTAAGAAAAATCACTATTTGTTGAAAGAAGTTCTACTAAAGGTTGAACACAGTTTGTCTGTTACTTAAAAGTTTCTGCACCTGCTCCCCACCCCCTCAAAAATGGATTGTCTCTTTCGCAAAGGTTTATCACTTTTTTCCCATCGGTGTCATCTGATCGGGGAATTAAAACGCATCCCCCTTCTCAGAACGCTGGTTACGGCCCTGAATAACAGCAACAAAAAAAAAATCACACAAAACTAAAAAATAACCCATGAAAGAAATATTGTCGGCGGAGCAAATGTCGGCGGAGCAATTGTCGGCGGAGCAATTGTCGGCGGAGCAAATGTCGGCGGAGCAATTGTCGGCGGAGCAATTGTCGGCGGAGCAAATGTCGGTGGAGCAATTGTCGGCGGAGCAATTGTCGGCGGAGCAAATGTCGGCGGAGCAATTGTCGGCGGAGCATTTGACGTCGGAGCAAATGTCGCGGAGCAAATATCGCGGAGCAATCGTCGCTTTTTGAGGAGCATTTGTCACCGGAGTAATCGTCGCCGGAGCATGTGTCGGGTTACCGCGAGCTCCGCCGCCGCCGTGGGCGTTGGACTGAAGCTCCCTCGGACTCAGTCCCTGAACTCTGGAATTGAGAGGCCGTCGGATATGTAAACACCGAATACTTCATGGAAAATGGAAAGTTATAAAGCATATCACATATTGAAATGTCAATAAAGTAAAGAGTATGGATTCGACTACATGTACAGGTTTTATACTTACGATTTTAAGGAAAGGATCGAGAGATTGAGAGATTTCAATTGCACTAAAATCGGGCTGACCAGATACTATCGCAGATTGTTTTGGAGGTGAATTATTTGGATAAAATCAGTCGAGCATAAATTATCTCCACCAAGTGCTGCATCCTGATTGGTAGATAGCTCTCAAACCAGGTTTGAGAAATTACAAACCTCCTATCTGAGCAGTCTGTAAATTTCGGGTCTGATGACGTACATAAACCTGGTCTGAGGACAAACCTTGCTTTGTGAAATGAAATTTCAGACCAAGGTCTGAACTCAAACCTGAAACGCGTCATATGACGTACGGAAACCTTGGTCTGAGGACAAACCGGCTTTGTGAAATGCAATTCAGACCAAGGTCTGAACTCAAACCTGAAACGCGTCATATGACGTACGAAAACCTTGGTCTGAGTTCAAACCTTGCTTTGTGGATTCGGGCCAATGATCATGGGTTTGTAAGACATTTCTCAGAATCCTTAACTGGAAATAAACTTACAGCTTTGCATGTCCATCATTATAGCAAAGAAATGAACATTACAATTAAGTACCACTATGGACCTATAACAGGAATAAATGTTTAATAGACTGACTATTTTGTTAAGTTTAGCTCATTATGTAAGGTGAATGATCAAACTTACTGTTCGAAAGGTATTCTGTTGCGATATAAAAATGTATGTAATTCCATTTGATTCCGTACTTAACTTAAATTTTGCTTTTACTTAAATTTTGCAAGATAAATTTTAGGAACTTCTTACACAGTAAAAACGCTGGTTAAAAAAGTGATGTTCACTTACAGTTGTACACTATCTTAAACAACAGTTGAACAAATTGTAAACAATGTTGCTCGAAACGAAAGTAATTTTGTTAAACATTCGTTGTTTAAAATTGAATGACTGCTATATTTACTATACGAGAGCTTTTAGACAGTGTTGTTTACATATGACGTCATGTGTCTCGTGCCAGTAAAGTGCGCGCTGGCTAAAAGCTTTATTTCACATTGTTATGTTTAGAAACAGGTTCCTTGAAACTAACATGCAATTGAAATTAACATGCCACTTAGAAATGCAGTGCAGCTGTTCAGGCACAGCTCATTGTTATTCATATTAGATGCATACACACAATGCAAGTATATGCAAGGGTCTTCTGTTGACTACACAGATTGATACATATGTAAAAGCACATGGACATTGAGTCTGGATTAAACTACCAAAGCAACCACACGTGTTTCTGCAGGCTCCATTTTGTTTGTCTCTATACTTACATTTATTTAGCTTAATAGTTTTTACTTTCCAACCCACAACACAACACACATCATGGCCGACCAAGCTACCGACGCGCTTCTAAGTGACTGGGGATTCAATGTCTTAATTGAAATCACTTTTCTATTAACCAATTTGAAGTTTTTAATTTATAGCGTAAGTTCACTGTTACAATTTTCAGTATCTGTACGCAAATGTCAGAATAAAGGTAGACTTAAAATCGTCGCGTCATGCAGTGCGGCACTGATCGCGCACTCGGTTATAACGTGTGCTAAATTCCTTGCCATATAGATTGCATGTATCCCTATATATGCAGTTTATACGTGCGTGCATGCGCGCTCATGCAAAATGGGCACTGTTTTGGCGCTAATTCATGAATTGCAGAATTACCAGTGGCGTACCTGGGGTACTCCGTCAGGGGGGGCAAGCGACCGAAACAAACAAAAAGGCGATGCTAATTTTCACTTCTGGCGAGCGAGCGAGCGAGCAAAAAAAAATCTTTAAGTAACGTTTGGTATATAAACTGGTATTGTTGCAAGTTGGGGGTGGGAACATTCACTTGTTAGCGACGTTAATTTCATTTTTTTGCAAACTAGTGTAGCGAGCAAGAAAAAATCACTTCTTTTTTAATAATTGCCACTTAAACTTGGTTCAATTGTCCCATGCAGGGCGCGGGAACAATATTGTGTTTAGGGTGATTTTATACCCATTTTAGCTAGCGAGCGAAAATACATCTTTCTCTCAATGAATTGCTATATAAAATTTGTTTCATTGTTGCAGGTAGGGGGCGGGCACAATCGTGTTTAAGGCAATGTCAATCCCATTTTGGCGGGCAGGCAACCCCCTACATTTCTCTTTTTAATGATATTGTAGCAGGTTAGTGGTGGGCACATAATTCCACGAGCCAGCGAGCGTAGCGAGCGAAAAAAAAATCACTTTTCTTTTATAGGAAAAATATGGTACATAAAACTTGGGTTCATTGTTCCATGTCAGGGACGTGATTATTAAAAGCGGTGTTAATTCTATTTTGGCGAGCGAGCGTAGCGAGCGAGCAAAAAAAAATCACTTCTCTTTATAGGGAAAATATGGTATATAAACTTGGTTTAATTGTTCCATGTCAGGGACGTGATTATTAAAAGCGATGTTATTTCTATTTTGGCGAGCGAGCGTAGCGAGCGAGCAAAATTTTTGTAATGATAATTGGTTCATAAATTTCAGATTTTTTTGTTGCAGGGCAGGGCTTACACAATCATGTCTAAGGTGATGTTAATTCCGTTTTGGCGAGCACGAGCACACCAAAATTTCTTTGAATAACGTTTCGTACATAATTATTAACTGGTTGTTGCAGGTTGGGGCGGGCACGTTAGCGGTGTCAATTCCATTTTGGCGAGCGAGCATAGCGAGCAAGCAAAAAAAATAAATTCTCTTTTAATAGAAATTAATAAATACTTGTTTTTATTGGTGCAGGTCAGGATGGACGCAATCGCGTTTAACGCGATTCAATTCCTTTTTGGCGAGAGGGCGAAAAAACTCTTCCATTTTTAATGATATTGTTGCAGGTCAAGGGTGGGCACAATTGTTTCCAAAGCAATGTCTATTCATTTTATTCGCGAGCGAGTGTAGCGAGCGAGAAAAATGAATTAGTCTCTTTTAGTAACATTTGGTACATATATTGTGTGTTATTGTTGCCATGGTTGCAGGTCGGGGCCCGTCGGGGCAGGCACAATTGTATTCAAGGCAATACTAATCCTTTTCTTTTTTCAGGGGGACGAGCAAGTGAAAACATTTAATACAAAATAGGCTAGCAAGCAGTTCGCGCCAGCGAAGAGTTTCAAATTTGTTATATCACTTATATTTTCCTATTTTCATTTGTTTTAATTTTTCAGGGCCGTATGCGGAATATTTTTCTGATGGGGGAAGGGGGAAAGATGCGTTAAAAGTTTTCGAAGAATCTCAAAAGCAAAAGGAGTGAAGGGAGTTCGAGCGACCGAACTGGTCATGAGGGTACTTTTGCATTTTCAAAAGGAGAATTGAAGGATTTGGTATAGGCCTACACTACATTTTCAGGAAAAAAACTGTACGATTTCAAAATATCTGGGGTCAACTGCCCCCCCCCCTGGTGCTTACGGCCATGTTCTTTATTTTTCCCCCATTTTTATTCCTTTCCTTTTCTTTTCCCTTTTTCTTCCTTTTCTCTTCTTCTTCCTTTTTTCTTTCCTTTTTTTCCTTTTTTCTTTTTCTTTCCTTTTTTCTTTCCTTTTCCTTTTTTCTTTTTCTTTCCTTTCCCTTTCTTTTCTTTTCTTTCCCCTTTTTCTTTTTTTCCCCTGGAGCCCGTCAGGGGGGCACTCTGCCCCCCTGCCCCCCCCATAGGTACGCCAGTGAGAATTACCCTACCATATTGTAGTCTTGTAGTCTTCATATACCTATATAGAGACCCAGAAGTAGTGGTGCACTTATTCAGAGTATCAAACCCAAATTATACCCCATTATACAACCCTTTTGTTGTAAACAACCCCCACTGAACAACAGCTCCTTTTTAAACAACTTTCTTTAAACAACCCAGTTGGTGTAAACAACCCCCACTGAACAACAGCTCCTTTTTAAACAACTTTCTTTAAACAACCCAGTTGGTGTAAACAATCCCCACTGAACAACAGCTCCTTTTTAAACAACTTTCTTTAAACAACCCAGTTGGTGTAAACAACCCCCACTGAACAACAGCTCCTTTTTAAACAACTTTCTTTAAACAACCCAGTTGGTGTAAACAACCCCCACTGAACAACAGCTCCTTTTTAAACAACTTTCTTTAAACAACCCAGTTGGTGTAAACAATCCCCACTGAACAACAGCTCCTTTTTAAACAACTTTCTTTAAACAACCCAGTTGGTGTAAACAACCCCCACTGAACAACAGCTCCTTTTTAAACAACCGTCTTTAAACAACACCAGTTGTTTAAATTGTGATTTTAAACAAGTTGTTCAAAATGTTGATCAACTAAGTGTTTAAACTTTAAACAACTCGAGTTGCTTAACATTTTAAACAACTCTTAGATGAGGTCACCCGTTAATCAAGAGTTGTTTAAACTTTTAAACAACTTGTTCACAAAAATGTTAACTGTGTAATACTAGTCTGGTCAGGAGCAGGAGTCTACTCTCCTGCTCCTGCTCTGCAACTCTACTCAACTCTCCAACTCAATCCAGTCTTCTACCCAAACCTCTCATCCTATCTACAACTTTCTGGTTTACAGTCCTTTTCAGGACTATACTCACTTCCGAAAGATACTCTTCCTTCCAACCTCCACTTTCTCGCCTTTCTATTTCACTTCTATTTTCTATCCACTTTCCTTAGTCCTTCTAGGACTTTACACATGGTGTACCATAAACCTCTACCGCGATTATTCATACAACCATGCAAACCTTCAAACATCATCTGTGTAATACTAGTTCGAATCCCGAATTTTGATAACAAATTAGATAGAAGATTATCATGTTTGTCTTTGATTTTATATCATGTTCATTCTAGCATTGGTGTTTTAAAATCCTCTCATGTATCATGGTTGCTCCTGTCCCCGGAAAGATTGGCATAGAAGATGGTCGCATAGGTACTAGTAGTCTCTCTGCGTCATCTTGCTGGGATATCAATAGCTCGCTCTAGACTCAATCAGCCAGAAGAGGGCGCTCTAAGAGGAGCCTGGTCAGCTTCAGTGAGTATACATGTTACATCCCACTTTCTTGTCATCCGAGATTGCAAAGCTACATGTACTCTCACTGGCTTTAATGTAGTGCGCAGACTCAATTACTGCTTTCCC